TACTCTTTTGATAAGTTCATTGTATATGTATCTTAATGTATTCTAATATAATATAAGTAATCATTGGTACTTTTTTTTTTGTTTTTAATTTGTACCGTAACTTTCGTCCTAATGTTTTATATTGCTTCCATATATATATTTTGTGATCCTTTTTATTAGGGTTGCATATTTTTTTAGAAGAGAAATAATTTGAACTACTCAATGGGTTTTGGACGTGTATAGATCAAAGAGCTTCTATTGCTATACAATTTGCAATAAGTTTTTAAATGGTTGCTAGACACACACCTTTTAATGCCTATCTTCTAACAAGAGTTTCAACAAGAGATTCAACAAGTAACAGGAAGTTGGATAAGATCAAAGATTAAACTAGAAAACGAAGCAATTAGAAAAACTTGCAGAGGAGATGAGAAAGGGTAAAAAGAATTTTTATTGCTCAGACTTTCCGAGTTTAGTTTGATGACATACTTTTTCACATGAACGAAAGTCTTACACAGTTGTTGAGATGCATAAGCTTGAGTAGAAAAGAGTTATGATATGATCAAAGAGTTTGAAACTCCATGCTTCAACAATTTATAAATTTCTAATGTAACGTGCTTCATGTTAAATTGATTAAAGAGCTTGATCGTCCTTTGTATATTGTTTGGGTTAACAAACAAAATTACTGAATCACATAAATGAAATAAAAATAATGAGCTCACTGTCTTTATTTTTGCTAGCATATAGTTTGGTTTCTAGGTTTTTTGTAAAATTTGTTTGTTAATATTTCGAGTGATTTGTGAGACAAATTAAGAAAATCAACTCTTATGTTGTACTAAGATAAACATAAGTTACGTATATTGTACTTTAATGACCAACAATTTTGAAACAAAAAATAGTTAAAACCTTTTATCGCGCAAGGTGGTTTTGAAAAAATATTTTACATGCATTTKTGAGGRTTTAGGCGCACRTATTWGAGTTTAGTACTYCTAAATTTGTTAAAACTATAAATTATTTTTAATATTTTACATGCATTTGTGAGGGTTTAGGCTGATTTATTAGGGTTTAGTACCCATTTATTTGCTAAAAATATAAAATTATAAATCAAATTTCTATTTCTAAATAGAAACTATATCAAAGTTTTAAAATTTATTATCCCCTCACAAGGCCTCCAATGGTGTGTTTCGACGCTCTGGTCTGCAGTTTTCTAAAGTTTTTCTCAAGGATGTTAAACTTAGGAATTCAAACCATTTCTACAGAATAAGTCACTATTTTATTTTCTGTATTTTTAATCTTGCTACTTCTTATGTGATTGTCGTTTTTTATAAGGCTTACCGTCAAGTATCGATGGGTAATTGATGCTCACGATAAGATTTTGGAAAAAAAAACTAAGGTTGACATGAAGCAAAAAATGATTGAGATGAAAATGAAGCGTGTCGAGGCACATTCTTCGTATTTGGAGCGAGCAACTTGGGTTCGATGGAGGGTTCGATGGAATAACCCCTATTCTGGATAACATTCGAGTTGTTTTTGGTAGTGATGATAATGATAAAAAAGCATTCCATAGATTATATGTCTATGATCATCTCAATAATTTATGTTTCGTTTTTAATAATATTCAGTATTGATTTTATAAATAATATTATGTTCGATTGTTGAACTATATATTAGGTAATGTTACATGTTTACAAGATATCACGGCTAGGACTGGGTCGTGGTGGGTAAGGACTTGGACGGGACGCATGTAAGGGCTGGGATGAGACATGTAAGGGTAAGGATAAGGGCTGGGATGGGATGCGAGTAAGGAACGAGGCACATAGGGTGGGTTATTGATCGTGTTCGTTAATTAAAAGAAGTAATTAATTTTGTGATGAATGTAAATCATTCGCATACAATTTGAAAATGTTGTTTTCTAGTATTAGCATGTTTATAATGTAATAATTTTTGCTTCGCGTACAATTCCATTCTCCTACATGTTTAGAATGCTTAAGCTAATGCAGAAAATTTTAGCCCATATTGTCACCTCAAATCTACTATAATCGGTTGGAAGAGTGCGTCTTATGCTGCCAAGTCACGAATACAACTAACGTAACCACCAAAATAACTATGGGCACTTTTCTCTCCACCACTCGCTAAACAAAGTTTAGTCTAATGTTTGTTATTTCTCACAAAACGGTCATGGCTGCTTGTGCTTTATTGTATATGTTCAAAACCGTATGTACTTAAATTTAATTGAAAAACTAATTAATTTTGTTTTGCTTTTATAACTTTAAGAGAAATAGAAAAGTTTTTACAGAATTAAATTTTTACCAATAACTACATCAAAAAAATGACCAAAGTTATTATATGTAAAATTTAATTATATATTGGAAATAGATTTTAATGTGAATTTATTTGGCTAAAATATATAAATTCAAATGATTTTATTGGATTTTAAATATAAGAAAAGCTAACTCAACACTAAGTTCAATAGCATTCTGCCATTCTCGATATTTTTAAAAGAAAAACACAATCTCTTAGACTCTACGTTAGGTTCAGACATTTGGGTGTATATACGTTTTTTTTTTCATGATTGAAAAATATTGGACTCTAAAAAAACATGTCAGCTTATAGTCATCGAGTTCTTTTAATTTCATATAACCTAAACACAATTAGATAACCTTGAATGTTTGAGTTAGATTAAATTATGTTAATTTGTTCCATAATGATGCTAGATCATGTATATTGAAACACAATACGTAAAAATTTTTATTTTAATGGCCAACCATTTTGAAATGAAAAACATTAATTAAAAATTTCCCGCGTAAAGAGGTTTCGAAAAAAAACATCGATTCGTAATTTAGTCTAAGTCCACGATTTCTTAACATATCTTACTAAAGTCCTTTCACTAAACGGTTATCTGAAGATTTGCATATTTTCCATGATAATTAGAGTATGTGTTTCTAATTGAACCCAATAATCATCTTTAAGAAAACCTTCCTAGCGATATTACTTATACAAGGTTCAATGCATATTTAGGGAATCATTATGGTTTTCTCACAAGAGTCGACACGTCTCTCATCCTCCAAAAGATGGAACTCCTACCCAGAACTCTGTAACTATTCCTACGACATTCCAATATTTTATGCAAGACATAAGATATGACTTCTGATCCAAACAAGTAGCGCTAAAGAAGAGAAAGATGAGATGCTCCACCGAAAGAAGACAATATTAGTTTTTTTTTTTTTAAATATCTTACTGTTCAATTTCAAATTCAAATATTTTATGTAGAGACAAAACAAACAAATCAACTGGAAGTTCATCCATCAAGTTTTCCCATGAAATAACATAATGTGGATATCGTATGGTTTTTTTTAATGATTATGTGTGTGCTCAAGATTTAGCCATTCATGTTATGGTTTAGCAACCTTAATAAAGAAATTGATGACTTAGGGTTATTTAAAAAGATTAAACTTTAGATGTTTGTATTAGGATTTAGGCTACGATGCTATAGTTTAGGGTGTAGGGTCTATTTGTATTATTTTCAATGTTTACGTAAACTTGTGAGAGTTTAGGCTTCCATGTTAGGGTTTTCCTAAATTTTCAAATAAAAAAATGATGATATAATATGAAGGAATAATTTAAACGTTTCTTTAAAAAAACTAATAAAAAGTATAACTAAATAAAAATATTGGTAATTAAAAATAATAGAAATGAGGAAGCTCAAAAATGAGGATGATAATAATAGTGAAAACGGATAAAAATATCATAAATAATGGAATTAGTTATCTTCAAAACAAAAAAATAAATATACAAAATAAATGTATTGTTTTGAATATTTTACGTGCATTTGTGATAGTTTAAACTTACATATTAGGGTTTAGTATTCCTTAATTCTGTTAAAAATAAAAACTGTTTTGCAATAGTTTATATGCATTATTGAAGATTTACGCTCACATATTACCCTTTAATTTGTTAAAATTATAAATCAAAATTTTATTTCGAAATAATTAACTCTATCAATGTTTTGAAATTTATTATCCTGCGCGGGTACTGCCCTAGTATCTTATTAAAGACGAGAGCAATTCACCAAAACCCCCAATTTGTCTTACCTACACTCTAAATTCAAACAAATAAATGACCAACCAAACTAAATTACTTTTGAAAAGAGTTTAGAAGACATTGTAGTTAACCTTTAATAACAGTTACACCAATCTCTACCAACCATTAATTAAAACTTGTTTCTTTTGTTGGTCCACCAAAAATGTTGAACCATTTTACTCATTACCATTTAAACATATATATTTTCACATGAAGAAGATGAGCAACAACAATACCCTCATACCATTTCAATGGCTTCTTGCTTCCACCCTTCTCCTATGGCTAAAAATCGCGAAGAAGACTCCATCGTTCTTTTCTCGGCATCCGATTCTCCTGATGACTTCTCCTCAGCTTCCTCTTCCTTTTCTTCTTCACCACTCTCAACCCCAAACCGTTTCTGTTTAAGAGTCTCTAATCTCTCTTACACCATCAATCTCTCTTCTTCTTCTCTGTTTCAGACACCAAACCATGTCAAGATCCTCGATTCCGTGTCCTTTTCCGCAGAATCCTCGAAAATCTTGGCCGTGGTTGGTCCGAGCGGAACAGGGAAATCAACTCTTTTAAAGATCATTTCAGGAAGAGTGAGCCACAAGGAACTCGACCCCTCTTGCGCGATTTCGATCAACGATGGTCTAATCCGCGACAACAACCATCTACGCAAGCTATGCGGGTTTGTCCCGCAAGACGACGATCTTCTACCTCTGCTTACCGTAAAAGAGACGTTAATGTACAGTGCTAAATTCAGTTTGAGAGATTCAACAACGAAAGAAAGAGAAGAGAGAGTAGAGAGCTTGTTAAGGGATCTAGGTCTTGTTCTTGTTCAAGACAGCTTCGTTGGCGAAGGAGACGAAGAAGATCGTGGAGTTTCTGGAGGAGAAAGGAAGAGAGTTTCCATAGCCGTTGAGATGATCCGTGATCCACCGATTCTGCTTCTTGATGAACCAACCTCTGGTTTAGATAGTCGAAGCTCGCTTCAAGTGATCGAGCTTTTAGCTTCAATGGCGAAATCAAAACAGAGAACCGTCGTGTTATCGATTCATCAACCTAGCTATCGAATCCTCGATTACATCTCCGATTACTTGATTCTCTCTCGCGGATCGGTGATTCACTTCGGGAATCTTGAATATCTCGAGGAATCAATCGCCAAGCTAGGGTTTCAGATTCCAGAGCAGCTTAATCCGATCGAATTCGCCATGGAAATAGTCGAGTCTTTGCGAGATTCGAACACGAAGAACTCCTTCGAACCAATCTGGCCTTTGTCTGAAAGCAAGAACGATGAGATTACTAGTAAGCAAGAGTTTTGTCTCTTGGACATGATCACCGAGACCACATTTCTCTGTTCAAGATTCTTCAAGATCATCTACAGAACAAAACAATTGTTCTTGGCTCGAACCATGCAAGCAGTAGTGGCTGGATTGGGACTAGGAAGCGTCTACACAAGACTTGGGAGAGATGACGAAGGCGTAGCGGAGCGGCTTGGTCTGTTTGCTTTCAGCTTAAGCTTCTTACTCTCTTCTACGGTCGAAGCACTTCCCATATACCTCAAAGAACGACGCGTCTTGATGAAAGAATCGTCTCGCGGATCGTATCGGATATCGTCTTACATGATAGCTAACACAATCACTTTCTTACCGTTCCTATTCGTCGTATCGCTCCTCTTCTCCATCCCGGTATATTGGATCGTAGGGTTGAATCCGTCGGTCCAAGCGTTCTGTTTCTTCATCTTGTGTGTTTGGCTCATCATACTCATGGCTAGTTCTCTGGTTCTCTTCCTCAGTGCGGTTTCTCCTGATTTCATTTCCGGAAACTCTCTCATTTGCACCGTTCTTGGAGCCTTTTTCCTCTTCTCTGGCTACTTCATTCCGAAAGAGAAGATACCGAAACCGTGGATGTTCATGTACTATGTGTCCCTCTACCGTTACCCGCTTGAGTCGATGCTGGTGAACGAGTACTGGAGCATGCGAGAGAAGTGCTTCTCGGGTGGGATCTCAGGGTGCTTGATGACCGGAGAAGATGTGTTGAAGAAGAGAGGGCTAGACAAGGACACGAGGTGGATCAATGTCGGGATAATGCTCGCCTTTTTCGTGTTTTATCGAGTCCTCTGCTGGGGGATTCTCCTCCGAAAGACTTCCAAGTCGACTCTTTAAACAGAGATTTCATCTTTTCTTAACAATCTCACTAATTGGAAAACCTGTATGAAGAATTGGAAAGAGGCAAAATTAAACATGAAAAAACAGAGTCCTTTTATTAGAAAAAAAAAAAAACACATAAGTAATCTTGTTAAAAAGGAGATGATACAAGAAATAGATAAAGTATTGCAATTGGAACTACTTACTAATAATCCCAATAATAATCTCTTTGTTTCCTTTTGCCTAGTTGGTTGGTTTGTGGTTGCACTTGCACCAAACTTGGAACATAAGAAGAGATTCTCCGAGCTTCTCCGATACCGGTATTCACAGATTTAAAGTATCTATCTTCTCCAATGATGTAAGCTGTCATGGTCGGTTCAACATTGTTGCGATTGGAAACCACAACTACTTTCTTCTTCTCGTCAATGAAAAAAGTTTGAGCCTTAAAGCCAGTCGAAAAACGAGTGAGCTGTATCATATCCACTTTCAAGAAATTGCTCCAAGATACCGCATTGGGCTCAATCTTAGTCGTAATCCAAACCTCCATTATCTGTTTGTAGCCCTGATATAACAGGGCGAGCTGCTCATCTCTAACACAAGATAGTCTCACAGTTTCGTAACCCAAAAAACTAAAGAGTGAAACGGCAGAGAAAGACTCGGTCCAAATCTCTTCGTTTTAAAATCAAAACAAAGTAAAAAAAAAACTTCAACCCTTAAAACTCTAGTTTCATACTTTTGAGCAAAAAAGTAAGTATTTCCCTTTAAAGACACGCCACCATTTTCAATGTCGCAGTCAGGAGGAGTGACATGGAGGAGAACCCTCCATGAATAAGAATTAAAATCGTAGATTTCTAAAAGTGGTAGGTGGCTCCAATAGTTGTCAAACATATCCAAACACAAACCTCAAGATTTTGTGGTTACGGATGTGGTCGTATCCGAAACCATATATGTCATCTGGGTGGAATTTGGTGTATTTACTGTGTTCGATCCACCTGATTTGCCTCAAATACGTGTTCCACACCACACGCCACTTGGTGTTTTTGATGAGACATAACAATAAGCCATTGCAGTGAAGGACTTGAGCTATCTCAATTTGATCAAAAATCACTTATTCGCTTTACGGATGCATTAACCAAGTCGGCGTCCTTGTTGCGGACTCCTTGGAGGTCGAATTTCATTGAAAAAATCTTTGAATCCACCACCGTGAACAACAACAACTGCTGGCTTGCTGCTGCGACTATTTGATCAAAAATCTGATTGTTTTTAAGTAAAGCGTTCCATGTTTTACAAGTAGATCGCATTGCGTTTTATACATGTAAATGGAACCCTTCAGAGTATCTCCTCTAACAAAACCATTGGAAGATCGAATATTGTCGCCATCCTTTCAGAGTTTCAAACAAAAGTTTTTTTTTTATTTCTCTCCGAATGAGAGCTTGTAAAACCTCTTGGGTTTCCTTTTCCTACCTGACATTCTATATTTATTTTATTTTCCATTTTTTGTATATTAGAAAGAAAAAGAAATTTGGTTGCAGATTCGAAGATAATAATACTTTTTCAACAAGGAATTTCACAAGCATTTTTATTCCACTAGAGGAAGCATTTCAATAACACAATGTTTTTTCAACACACGAGTCTCAATTTATTCATTACCCACTTGCAGAGACCTTTATGATGTTCAATTTAAAACGACAAAATCAAAACAGAGATCAGGTTTGAGAGACAACCATATAGAACAAAGGAAGAGGAAAGCAAAGCAATCGTGTTTTCAAGATAGCTGCAAAGAGGACAGCTACACATTTCATTCGCAGAAAATAAAACAAAACAAAACAAAAGGATAAAGAGAGGCAAAAACAGCCACCAACTGCTTCAGACATCGAGAGCAAGCCACAAAATGTTATGTTTCCTTTGTTATTCATACGGTCTAACATCTCCACCTCAAGTAGCAAAGAGAAAAGGCACTTTCTTTTACTCCTATCAATTCCGCACAACCATTCATTCTTCTTTACCATATATAATCTCTTTCACCAACATGATCTCTGTCCTCAATCTATCAATAATAAAGCATTGCATTGGTGATTTGTTTAGTTAACCAATGAGTGCCTAAGCTTTATGGACAGGGATGAAGAAGGAGAACAAACCTGTCAGGTAGGAAGTGCCCCACAAGAAACCAAGGCCACGGGGACTCCAACTAGAGACTTCAACAGAACAAGGCTCAGTTGGACTTGGGTAGCAAAAAACCGTTGCGTAACACTCACCTGAATCATTCCCAATTACCTAGATCAACACCATAAGAATAAGAGAGTTTCACAAAGCAATTCCATAATGCAAAGGAGCTTCATGTTTGCTATTACCGTGTTACTCTTCTATTCCGATCTCACACAAAGGGACGACTTGACCAACCAGACTGTCCTTGATATTGTTCCGGGAGTTGAGCTGATTGATGGTTTTCACCCACAAAGTTATCTTTCTGATTATTCCGAAAGTATGGGAAATCTGCTTGGAGCTGTGAAGTTGGAACTTGTTTTCCAGGGAATGGAAAGATGGCAGCCCCATTCATCAGTCCATTGCTGGTACCCATGTGTTCAGGTTTCCCTGAAGAGGCGTAATTCAGGGAACTGTTGAGCCCACTGCCTCGAGAGGATTGAGCTTGATATCCATCCAACCAGCTGTAATCATCAGCCAGTGGATTGTTGCCAGACAAATCCGGACCAGGTGTTGGCTCCTTTGGCAGCTTAGACGGGACAGAGTTAAACCCAGGCGGAGGGCCAAGATGCCTAAAGGCTCTACTGATTGGATTTTTTCTTGCTACCGAAGACTGGACGCCAAGGCCATCAGCAATAACTCCAGGAGATGAAACAGCAACAGTTTTGGATGGCAACACAGCATCAGGTGTTTGTGACTGAGAATATGGCATACCACCCATACCATTGACATTGAAAGACTGGTGGATCGGTAATGACTGTGCAGGGTAATAGGATACTCCATGATTTCCTTGCATGTCATTCCTCATCACAAGACCATTACTCATCTGAGTAAAAGCAGATAGGCTACTAGCAACAGAAGCTGCTTCTTCTGGTAACCACTGGCTACGGCTACCACCAAGGGGGGCACACTGTGCCTGCACCGGCGATACATGTGAAACCTGTGCTTGAGTTTGTTGAAAGTGTACAACCCGTGATTGCAGTGGTTGAAGTTGTCCGGCCTGTGATTGCATTGGTTGAAGTTGTCCGACCTGTGATTGTAGAGGTTGAAGTTGTCCAACCTGTGATTGCATCGGTTGAAGTTGTCCGACCTGTGATTGCATCGGTAGAAGTCGTGCAGCAGCTAGTGATTGGGCTTGCTGAGGATGCACTGCCTGTGTCGGAACTTGTTGCAACTGCGCAGCCTGGGGCTGGGTTGATGGGTGAGGATGTCCCAGATGGTTGGAACCAACAGATATAGGCACTTGAATATTAGCATTGCCTCTAGCTTGCAGAAGGAGTTCATGAAAAGCTGTGTCAGAAGCACTCAAAGCATTTAAATCCCCCACAGTAGCAACTTGATCAGGTTTCCTGAAGCCTCCACTAGGAATATATATTTGGTCAGAGGCCCCTTTCCTCTTCTCAGTAACTAGAGGCTTGAAAACAATTACTTCATCATCATCATCCTCCTCACCCGAAAAAATCTGCTGATCTCGTTGTATCACTGATGAGTTAAGATTCATCATTGCTTGGTTACCTCCCAAAGCATTATTACCTTCAGGTGGGCTTGGATGAGAATCCAACACGTCATCTGACGGTTCTACACCAACAAGAAACTTCTTCTTCTTTGAATCAAAATACACATGATTCTGATCAACTTTGATAACACTGGTCAAAGCTTTTCCTGCTGCTAGAATCCTCTTTATACGGGCTTTCTTTTCCTTGGGACCTTCAGTCCCAAAGGAATGTTTTCTTGAGAAGTCGAGAATAGTCTGAGCTGGACGCAGTGGCAAGAATCCTCTTAATTCATAGTCCTCCCACAGTGCAAGTCGGTTTTCAGTTTCTCTTTCATCATACATGCTCATGTTTGAGAAGCAAGTCTCCTCTTCAACATCATCAATAAACATAGGCCCAAGCGACAAGATTTGATTGAAGAAGGCAACACAATGGTTCCAAAAGATCGTTCTTACAGCAATCTGTCTATCATCTGGATCACTTCCCAGTGCTATATCAGGATAACAGGCCAACCATTCAACAAAAACTAAAACACCAGGCAAGAAGTAACTCGACAAAGGATCACGCAGCTGTGCACACTTTTCTATCACGTGTCCAAGTAACTCAAAACTTGCTGTCAAGGAGTTTCTGGCAGGCTCCACACGCTGTACAATTTCTGCATATGACTGACCTTCTGTCTCTTTCTTTGAGTTATGGACGCTAAATATAAGAATTGTCACAAGTCGAACAATGAACAGTGCGCTGTCGCTGGTGTCTGTACCAAAACTCAGTTCTTCCACTACACCCGACGAAATCAGTTCTCGTAAACTGCTGCTAGTGGAGGCAAGAACATCTATGAATGTCTCCAGGCTGACAAAGATAAGTGACAAATATTATACCAGAGAGCCAGTAACAGAGTCCTGAACAAAATCATTTAAGAAAAATTACCTCGTGCGGGTAAAAAGAATCCCGTTGAGACGAACAAATCTAATGCAGAAACCTTTGAGTATCTCATTTGCAATAGTTACTTTATCCTTCTCAGGACCAGCTACCAAGTTCGCATCTTTCTCTGAAATATCTTCGCCTTTACCTCTTCCTTTACCAGTCAGCTTCTTAGATGAGTCTTTGGCAGCCACAAACAGTTGAGCATAACTCTGACGATTCTGCTCAACGGTACAAAGAAGGAAAGATGCAATGTGTTTAGATACCAAGGAAGTGGGAGGAAAATAGCCCTTACGCCAAGCCACTAACAAAATTACGAAAAAGAAACTTGTTAGTTAACCTTTTCAAAAGCAACAATCAAGTTGTCACGGGCAGTTGGGAAAGGACTCTCCGCAGCCAAACTCCGGAAATAGCGATATGTTGCTGCAAACTCATCCCCGGAATAAGAAGCAATTATAGCAAGCTGAGACAGTAAATTAATCTAATCAGACAATCTGTACTACATAGTTGTACCTAACTAAAAAATATCATGAGAAAGAGAAAAAAAGGGAATAACCTGATGATGTGGGTTTCCGCTGGCTGGCAAGAGGGAAGCTGCTTGCAAATAGTAACTTGAAGCAGCAGCATACTCTCGGTTCTTGGAATCCCCATCCCCATACACTCCTTTATACCGAGCCAGATCACCCAGGTATATAAGGCAGCGATGGCAAGATACCAAGCCCTTCTTAACTTCTGCTAACTTCTTTCCATCCTTATCAGCCAAATTTTGACTATCTTGATCCTCATTAAAATAGCCCAAGGGAAGACCATACTTTGATCTAATTTTTAAGATCAGGTCATGGTAAAACCCAGTTGCTTCTGAAAGGAACGTTCTGAACTGCAGCTTGAGTTTTGTAATTCGGTCGGATCTAGAAGGACCCTTTACATTTTGTGCCACACCTGAACTACTAGAAGCCAAGACAGCATTGATGTGTGATCTAAACTCTTCAATCCGCTTGTAATGCAACTGCCAGAGAGTAAATTCAATGTTGTGCTGCTCAGAGAAGGTATGATCTTCAAGAATTATTGCTTCATAATTCTCACGAATTTGCTGCCACACATTTGGATCAGATGGAACTCGAGCCTGGGCAGCCTTCCGACGCTTGTTTTCTAACTCAACAGTCTGCAAAGTGTGCATAAATTGTCACTGTAATGAAAGAACCAAATTTCACAAAGACATAGACTCAAGTGAAGGCCTTATAGAACCCTATCTAAGACGAACCGATGTGCATTTAAAAAATACTCCAAACAAGGATGAGCCATATTCATAGGGTAATTAAGTAAAGAGAGAGAACCTTGTCAAATATGGATTGGGCTCGCTCCCTTGGCGAGGAAGCAGTAGTTTTATCCATCTGCAAAGTCATCATCCATCAAAATTTTCAAGGTTATTTCACGTGTAACCTGCAATAAGAAAAGGCAGAATCTCAGCCCAGGACAGAAGCCTGAACCTAACCTATGCTTACGTCCTTAGCTAAAACAAAACAAAATAAAGTGATCTAATAGCCTAACAATACAGGAACATAAACCTTATCATAAGTGCTTTAGAGCTATTTACTACAGATAAATATACACGCTATATCACGATTTTGTCAGCAACTTCAATCAATGTTAAGAAGATGGAAAAAAACAGATGATCAACCGATGATACCAACAAAGAAATATTCCAGCATAAAAAGGGTAAGAATCAGCCAAAATATAACAAAAAGAATCACGAAGACCCTAAGGTCCTTGTCTCAGAATCCTTTTGCCCATAATCATAACCCTAATATCCGTAAACGAGAAACGAATTCAAAGCAGAATCAGCATCAATTAGAAAAAGGAACAAACCCTCTTCCCGAGATTGTATTGGGAAAAATCAAACCACACGGAGGTCATCAACTCGATATGAAGAAAAAAAGCCTAAAATAAAGCGAATTCTTGAAATAGGTAAGGAGAAAGGGAAGAAATCTCACCGGAATTAACAGATCTGCGGTGATGCCTACGCGACCGGAAGCATCGGAAGGGAAAATCGGTGAGAGGAGAGAGAAACTAGGGTTTTTTTTTTTT